ACACTTTCCATCAGTAATGCTGAACCAAGAGAAAGAGGTAGCCGGAGTGTTTCTTTTTATCGCACGGAGGAAATCTAAAAATTATTAAAAGATGAAACACACACACACATAAAATGTTCTAAAACCACTCTTAATAATTGAAATTCTCGTTCATAAATAAGAAAGCGTTCTCACGGTGATGTGGTTATCACGCCCTCTTCACACTCGGAAGGTTCGAAACCTGGTGGGAAGAATTGTATTTCTCATTCCGAATTTCTTTTACAAAATATTAAGGGAAGCTCACCTTCTGGGTCTGCATTCCATCAGTAATGATGAACCAAGAGAAAGAGGTAGCCAGAGTGTTTTTTTTAAATTCTCGTTCAAGAATAAGAACGTGTTCCCATGGTGAAGTGGTTATCACGTCCGCTTCACACGCGGAAGGTCCCAGGTTCGAAACCTTGTGGGAACAAATTTCTTTATCAATCCAGAAATTCTTTTACAAAATATTTCGGAATGCTCACCATTGGGGTCCACTTTCTATCAGTAATTCTGAACGCATAAAAAGAGGCCCCCGGAGGATTTCTTTTTTCTCTTAGGATGAAATCCAAATATTATTCGAAAGGGGAAACATATATAATGCTCCGAAACCTCTCTTAATAATTGAAATTCTCGTTCAGAAACAAAAAAGTGTTCCCATGGTGTAGTGGTTATCACGTCCTATTCACACACGGAAGGTCCCAGGTTTGAAACCTGGACGGAACAAATTTCTTTATCAATCCAGAAATTCTTTTACAAGATATTTCGGGATGTTCGCCATTGGCGTCCACTTTCCATAAGTAATTCTGAACCAATAAAAAGAGGCACCCGGAGGATTTGTTTTTTCTCTTAGGATGAAATCGAAATATTATTCGAAAAGATGATACATATATAATGTTCGGAAACCTCTCTTAATAATTGAAATTATGGTTTATAGTTCAGAACGTGTTCCCATGGTGTAGTGGTTATCACGTCCGCTTCACACGCGGAAGGTCCCAGGTTCGAAACCTGGTGGGAACAAATTTCTTTATCAATCCAGAAATTCTTTTACAAGATATTTCGTGATGCTCGCCATCGGTT